ACAGTACCTCGACCCCGGGAGGCAGACGGAGAAGTACATCAAGTTCGGGCCGGAAGACCTCGAGAATCTGATCGATGAGCTCTTCGATGGCACTCCTTCGTCGTCCATCGCGAGCCGGAGGAGGACATGAACAGTAGGGTAGCGGGAACGGCCGGTGGTGGTGAGCTTCTTCTACTCTGTTTATATACTGTTAACCATTGAGATTCACTGTAAGATTCTACGTAGGAGGCGATCAAAAAGCTGCGCTCACGTCCCAGAAGTTGAGATCACGCCTCGTTTCGTGTCGTCCTCGACAAAGGCAGCCGGCACACAAGAGTTAACACAGAGGGTGACGACCATTCCGCCATTGTTGTTGCTTGTGTGTTTCCTTCCGTCATTATGCGTTGTTTGTTGCCAATGACAACAAGAGCTTCAAGTTATAATTGTTAGATCTTTTGCAAATTGAAAGTATATCTTTGTGTGAATGTTATCTGTGAAATTGATGGGTTTTGATCCACATAAATCATTTGTGCAACCAATGCTCTTGCTAAAAACAGAGCATAAGATCTTCAAAAGGGATGGATGCCTTTGAACATGGCGTGGAATCTTAATCGACACATAAAAAAGAAGAATTCATTGCCAAGAACATCATTCTCTGCAGGATTTCCATCCGCTAGCAGTGAGCCAAGGAGAGTTTAAAGCCCATGGAAGGCCACCTCGTTTCATCATCCCCAAGAGTCGAACAACGTCGATCCAAAGCTCTACCTCCTCTTCCAGATGAGTTGAAGACCCCGATACCCTTCCAACGAGATTCCATGCGGCAGGAGCTGCATGCTATCTTGCACGACATCCACGAAAACCTCGACCATCCTTGCACCCACGTCATGGATCACGTTCGACCTGAACCATCTCTTGTAGATGTCCTCTTCCACGATCAATCTGTTGGAGCACCTCGGTCTGCAATTGTAGACGCACAGCATCATGGTTATGTTCGTCCCAAGTGACTCCTCTCCGCCATAGACTGGTTTGATGCCCGCTCCTGATGTGCCACTGGAAACGATAAGTTCTATTACAGGTCGAGGAGATGGAAGAGATGAGAAGAAGGCTGGGATGGAGAAGATGACTGAGCGAGATCAGTGTTCGCTTCATTGACACCACCTGTTGATTGCGTTTGGATGACAACAATCTCAATATGCCTTGTAAATGTATCAGATGAGGACGATGTAAAACCATGAAACAGACGTTCTACATGTCTACCTTGAGTGAAGCAATGAAAAGCAAGCAGATTCTCCAACTTATGTGATCCAATAATGAGCTTCTCTTTCATATATCTAAATGATCTTTTCAAAAAAGCCAGAATATATATACTTGTTTGTGTGTGTGTTTGTGCAGTGTTTAATGGAGAAAGAAACTAGTCAAGACAGCAGGATCATGTCATTGTTCCAAATAATGTCCAAACAACAGAATAAGTTTACAGAAAAGACCCATAAAATCACATATAAAGTACAACACATACTTTAAAAAAGTACAACAGAGGTTACAACCATCAGATACAGAAGCTGGTGATAATTTCACAACGAATTACCCGTCGCTGGTCAGCGTAAAGGCGAGGAGCACCATAATGAGGGAGACAGTAATGGTTGTGCCAGCAAATAACCATATAGCCCATTGAGAGGAGCCCCGCCTCTCTTGACCAGCCCTCTCCACCTCCTTCAAGAGATCCCTAATCTCATCGATGTCTGAATCCTTAGCCGCATGAATCAGTCTGCTCTGGACCTCATCAAGTTTGGCGAGTCTTTTGGTTTTGGTTGCATCTTTAGCAGACCAAATGAAGCCAGTCATTCTCCACAGAAGGATGCCGACATAGATTGCCACTATACAGTCTACGGTGTAATGGTGGCGTTCTCGAATCTCTCTCTGGGCACTGTGCAGCACTAGAATCCATGTCAGAGCTGACGTCCAGCCACCATATGCTTCCTGAGGCCAGAAACAATTAAAGTATATTTTAGCAGTTCTACCAAGAATTCCAATATGCAGCTCAGAAATAAAATAAAAAATTGAGAACTGCAGGTATGCCACCTTACCACTCTAAATTCATTCTGTTAAATCAAGAATATGAAACTTAAAACTATAGATTGTTTAGATATGACTTTCAACATTAAACTGAGGTGCTCGTGCAACATTTGTTCTGCTAGAACCTATGATTATGAAGTCACTGCTCTGAATTTATGAAAATTTCCTGATCACAATAATAGAGTGGATGGGTTTTTCTGCTTCTCATTCCATTGTTTTACTTCCATTTATGAGCTCCCTTTGCATCAAACACATGACAGAGAATAATAAAACCAACAGCATAAGTTTCAGAGGCAATTGGATATCTATGAAGCTTAAGGCAATGCAATTAGAGGATGTGATTTTGTTTCAACAATAAACTGAGGCATCATTTGTTTCCTTCCATAGTACTTGTGATTTTGATCATGGTCTGCAGTACCGAACTGTACCGCCCGGTACGGGCGGTACGTACCGGTCCGACAGGTTGTCGGTACGCGGACCGCCTGTTACCGGTCCGAGTGCACTGTAACACTGTAGCAGTGCTACAGTACTCAGCACACCTGGGTGTACTGCTCAGTATACCGTACCGTACTGGTACCAAGCCCAGATCGAAATACCGGTATGGTACGATATTGCGAACCTTGATTTTGATATTCTTGCAAACTATAAATATAGGATAAAAAGAAATTCAGAAAAGAGGATATGAGAAACAAAATGATAGATTAGATGCAATTAATTGATATCAACCACAATTAGTCGGATAAAATTGTCAAGATAACAACAAGGAGCAAAAGGTGATTTATGTATCAGAATGTGGCTAATATTAAAAGATGGTGAAGCTATAGTAAAAAACATGGTTCGTATGATAACAAGCAACAATAAGCCGAAAATGTCCCAACAGTCACAAACATTGTCCATACACCACACCAAATGCCTCAAGCAAATTTATCCATTATCATCTATAATTAAATTATGCTGTTTAAAAAAATAAAACACATGCACAAAGAACTAAGCATACCGTCCATGCCATAGCAGTCAATACAGCAACAAGCATATGACCACTGTATAGCAGGTCATTACAACCGCCACCAGCTTTCTTCAACAATTGATACCATGAAGATCCCTCTGAAACAGTGGGCCTCAATATATCTATCAGAAAGTTCATCCGGCCCCAATTAGGCCGATATTCACCAGGATATTCTCCAATTGTGGCTAAAAGACAAGCAGGAAAAAAAAAAAGCTTTCAATTAGCAGCTTATAGATTTATAATGTTAAACTAATAAATAAGTTAGATCTTGACCAATCCTAACTAAACTAACCGTAGGGCATATCTGTTTGTATTAGCTTGCGAATGGCATCCGAGTTAGAAGCATATGGCATATAATATTTCTGTACCCAAGGATGAGGATGATAGGGTACTGGAAATCGGACTTCAGCACACCAAGGTCGTACCGATGGAAGAATTGTAGAAACAAATGTTACAGCACGAAGAAGACGCCCTATAGCCATGGTAAACATATACCTCGCGGCGAGTCCAAGACCAGGGGCTTTAACAGAGTTAAAAACCACAGAGAAAGCCAACATCACAAACAGCATTAAGAAATGATGTAGTCCAATTATATGTGCTCTTAGCACTTCAACCACAACCTGTGGAAGCTTCTCATTCAGGAACAAAAGCAACCACTGACCACTATCAGGAAGTGGGGGTGAAGATCTGCCAATTGAGAATTTCTTGAATCAGCAAAGTTGAAAACCATAATAAATAATCAATATTAGAATGCATGCTAATCTTTTGAGATGTATAAATAATTATGGGCAAACACTGAAAATTATTTTGTAAATAGAATTGTCTAAAAACAACAGCTTCTGATAGAGCCATGAAGAAAAGTTTTCTGACATTTCCAAGGAAAAGTTCTAGCTTGATGATACAATAGATGTACCACAAAACCTAAAAGGCTTTCTTTTCATTCTGCAGAAAGCTTAAAAATGATGTGCATAGTGGCCTCACTAACATAGCCAGTAAGAAAAATTGTTGCTTAAAGGATATACTATAAGAAAAACAACCACATGAACAGATATGTTTCTGGTGAATATCTACTTAAGAAACCAAAGGAAAGAGAAATCCTATGATTTCTTAAAAGTGTCATTCTAAGAATATAACAATGTTATTGAACAAGGACTTTTGTAATTATTGTGACGGAGCATATGACACTTTTTATTTCTTTGACATGGAAAATTGAACAAGCTAGAAGATAGTCAGAACATTAGCTTCTAATTCTGCACAAGAGCAATGACCTCTACATACGCTTCAAAGATAATAGAGGTGAATTGGTAAACTATAAGCAATTTGGTTAAATATATGCATCACTGCTTCATTTTTCACTGCAGATATTATAATATCCTGATTTACACTGTTTCAATTGTACATATTACTCATCTCTCCAACCTGCCTAAGACATATTCGTTACTCTTCACATACACCGTATATTTAAAAGCATTGGTAGTAAAGAAGTGTTATATTGATGACCTGAAGCATGCATGGGATCGACATGACAATCTAAAATGAATCATCTTTTTGTTCTTTTTTGCATATACAAGCACTGTGTTACCCCAAATTAACTGATATCATGAGCAATTCTTCTTTTTCTGATCATAAGACTGTATGTCATTTCTACTAGTTGGTTAAATTAATTATGGCCGGGTCCCAAAAAGCAGGTGGCGAAATGTTGCAACTATATCACATCAAAATGCCTTCTTTTTTCCAGGTTGTAATTCCAGTTTTTGACATGAAATTTCTCAGACATGATAAAGAGTAGCATCTGTGGAGAAAATCGATGTATAACTGAAATTTATCACCAAATAATTTAACTACATTGACCTCCTTCAGACCAAAAATCACCAGGAACATGCTCGAAACAGGCAAAAATGACTTCTTCTAAACTTAGTTTGCAGCATTGGATCCGCAGAGGTGGTACTTACGTATGCCAATCGAGGCCGAGGACAGCGGTCACGAATCGGACGGAGAGGGCTTCGCAGAGCAGGGCGGAGAGCATGAAGACCAGCGAAGCGAGGAAGGGGATCGCGGCCCGTAGCTCTAACGGCCAGTGCCGGTAGAAGGGGGCGCGACAGGCCGCGGCGAGGGCCAGGACCGCCCACAGGGCCGGCTGGAGTCGCCCGTGCCACGAGGGCGAGACATAGCGCAGGTAATCGACCGCCACGTACGAGATCGCCGCGAGGCCGAGACCCTCATTGGCTCTCGGCATCGCCGGCGAGAGGTGCTGGCGGCCGCCCCGGGCTTCTCCTCCTGAGGCCTCCCGCGATGGACGAAGGGAAGGGACGGAGGGAGAAGAGAAGAAGAGGGGAAGTGTTCGATTAATTGCCAGGTGAATTTAAAGGAAAGCAAAGCTGCCGAGCGGAAGGAAGGCACGACAAAAGGGGCGGAACGGAGGAGTCAAGCGGAATTTTAAGGCAGTGGAAATTTTGATGACCGATGATGGAGGAATTCGAGTTTTCATGAACTTAAAGGGCTTTTCTGCGTATT